GGTGTGTAAAGTGGTCTTATCACTGGCCTGTCAGTATGTGTTTCAGTGTCTTCAATATATATATTACACACAGTATACTACACTTATCTTCTCAAATATTCATTTTTTTTAAATTTTTTTTATAAATGTTTAATAATTTATCATTTCAAATACAGCTCACGTTCACAATTCAATTAAAAAGACATTCAAACAATATCTTCCTAATAGCATAAATAAATTATTTATTATTTAAAACCCCCACCTTTACCCTCCTTCTTCCCCTTCTCCCCTTTGTCAGCCTCCCATACCCCCTCCCTCTCCCACTCTGCGTTTTCTCTCTTCTCCTTTCCACCATACATTTCTATTATTTCTAAAACCATTTCAAGGGGTATTATATCCTCATATATTTCACTTTTTCTCTATACTCTTCCCATTTTTTCCACTTTATATTATACATCTCCATCTTGTCTATATGCATGTAATACAGTTTTACTGTCCCGCCAATCTGATTCATTCTGCCCATCCAATCCTCCTCTGTTGGCACCTCTTTTTTTTTTCCAAAACCTAGGTATCAAGCTCTTCGCTGCACTCAAATAATGCCATATCCCTGAGACTTTATATAATTTCACTGGAAGCTCTGTGATATGGAGAAGACATAACTCTGGGTCTAATCCAATATTAATTTTAGTGATTTTCCTTACTATATGAACTATTTTCTGCCAAAACACCTGTATTCTTGAACACTCCCACCATATATGATACCACGTGCCCTCCTCTCCACAACCTCTCCAACATAACCGTGAAATCTCTCCATTCAATTTATGCTCTATATTAGGTGTAATGTGTCATCTCACCAAACACTTAGAATTTATTTCCACCTCCCGCATACTAATATTTTCATGAATTAATCTAAGCATTTTCTTTTGCTCCTCCTCATCTATTTCTCTTCCCCATATCTCTTTCCCATTTCTAGTTTTTTAGTAACTCAAATATTCATTTGATGTTAATTTCTGTTTCTGTTTTTCGTTTAATGAGTTTGAAAAAAAAAAAAAAACAAGGATACACTAACAGCAAGAAAATGTAGAACATCGTAATAGAGACATCAGGAGTCATGAAGAGTTAAAACATACAGCCTCGTTGACGACACATTACCATCAATTATACCATAAAAGTTATATTATGGAACACCGATCTCAACTTACTAAAAAAAGGATTAGTAAGGATGTTAATTTTGATGATCCATGTGAGTGCTGGCAATGTACACTCAGTCACCAGGTAGGGTTACCTACCCCATAAAGCACTAAGTAATAAGTGCAATTGGAATCACTAATCCAAGTGAGAGGTTGGTGTTCTTATTTGGAGAAATAAAATCTTTTAGTCGGTTTAACACTAAGTGGTGCTCTCTATTTATTTAGCCTGGAATGGAAGAAGAGAAGATCAGATTACGGATTAAGACATAATTAGGTGCTGAAAGACATTTTTTATAAAGAGGTGAATTCTCTCCAGTGAGTCTTTTGTTTGCACACAGGTGACATGCATGGCATTGCTTGTTGGAATGCATGGTGGTGACTCACAGATACCTTGGATACGAAAGTGGATGTATTTGTTGAGGTGACCATAAAACTTTTAACATGCAATACAATGTGAAGACATCAGTTGGAAGTTTGGAAGCACACACAAAGGATAAAAGAGAAAGAACTTTTGCAACATTGTTTTATTAAGACAATTTTGAAGATATCATATACTTTACTGATACACTCTTTATTGTTTTATGTTTGAGGAGCCTTTCAGGGATCACTGTAGAAGGAGTGCTCTGCATTACTGTGTTTGTAAGGCTTCATGCACACAGGGCATCTGCTTGGCACCTTTTCTACTGGCAGAAGAAAAGCTGATTAAAACACAGTAAAAGCCACATATTGCTCTTGCGTTTATACAAGTTTTTGTGCCTTTGCGCATTAATGCATTCTATTGGGCAGATTATTATTTTTTCCTGACCATTAGAATGCATTAACGTGCAAATGCGTGAACACGGCTTAACACATCTAGCATTTATGCATGTTAATGCCTAATCCACATTTTTTATGATCAAAAGCTCTTCTAAATGCACTAGTTATGTTTTTGGTTTTTTTTCATTTTCAGCCTGTAACCTCTCCTCTTCTAATACCTTTATATATGCCTGTGTGTGCATGGTCACATATAGAGGTGCTTTTACAGGCTGAAAAAAAAAAATGCCAAAGGGAGAAGGAATAAACAGATATTTAGTAAAAAGAAGCACATAATACACACATTAAGGCTAGGTTCACACTCATGCGGTGCGGTATATCGCATGTGATTCGCACAGGAACTGCACCGCATTCCTGTGCAAATCACATGTGTTTGTGTGCGGAGCGATTTGAGCCATACATTATGTATGGCTCAAATCGCACCGCATCCACACCAAAAAGGCGCAGGACCCTTTTTTTGGGTCTGCACTAGAATTGTATTGCATGGGTATTCGCACCTATGCGATCTGATTCTGCACATCGCACCGCGTTTTGCAGACCGATTTCAGGGTGTTGTTAACTTGACATACACCCCCACAGTGGTTTGCATGAACGGGGTGCAATTCTGATGTGGTGTAGAATTCGCACAGAAAACCCTGCAAATTCCAGACCGCATCAGTGTGAACCCAGGCTACCACTTAACCTCTTGATTATCCCAAGATGTTAACCCCTTCCCAGCCAGTACAGGTATATTGTATGGTATTATCAACGATCATTGTATTAGTGTCACTGGTGATGCCAGTGTCAGTCGCTGATCGCTGCCATTACTAGTATAAAAAGTAAACAAATAAATAAAAATTCCAGTATATAAACTATAGTTTGTAGACACTATAAATTTCACACAAACCAGAATACATTTATTGGGATTTTTTTTTTTACCAAAGACACGTAGCAGAATACACTTTGGCCTAAATTTATGAAGACATTCGATTTTTTTTTAAATTGGATATGCTTTATAGCAGAAAGTAAAAAATACTGCTTTTTGTCTTTTTTTTTATTTTTAGAATAAAAATATTTAAAAAACTCGAGTCAGTTGGTAATCATATGCTACCAAATAAAAGCTCTATTTGTGTGAAAAAAAATTATACAAACTTCATTCGGATATAGCATTGCATGACCGCGCAATTACCAGTTAAAATAGCGCAGTGCTAAATAGCAAAAAAATGGCCTGGTCATGAAGGGGGTAAAAACCTTCCAGAGCTTGCATGGTTAAGCTCAGTGTGCATGAGGCCTAAATAAGGGGAACCTGTGTTGCCCAGTTGTGAATACCCCATGCCGTGTAATGGAAATTTAGAAACATTTTCACACTTGATTAGTTAATATTAGTGAACAAAACTTTATATTATGTACTAAAATTCATTAACATTCACTTTACAAAATGAACAGCCTTTATTCCTTTAGTAAATAAACCACGTTCTGTTTTCCGTGGATAAAAAATATATAGGGATTGATTTACTAAAATTGGAGAGTGAAAAATCTGGTGCATATCTGCATAGAAACCAATCAGGTTTTTTTTTCCAAAGTTTAAAAGGAGAAGTATAGCCATAGCTATTTTGGCTGTATGTCTCCTGTGCCCCGTTTTCAGCTGACGGCAGGCTAAAGTCTGCTGTCGGCTGATGTCACTCAGCTGGTCTAGGCTCTGAAAAGATCCCAAAAATATGATCAGGATCCACTGAGATCCTGAGCCAGCCCCTCCCACCCCTCCAATAAGTGCTGGAAGGGCACAGCAGAGAGCCTGAGACTGAGAGTTCTGGCTCTCTTCTCAGAGTGGAGGGTGAGAACTGAGCAGTCAGAGGTTTTTGATCGCTCAGTTCTCACTACAGAGCTGGCAGGCAATAAATGCAGTATCAGATCAATGTTGCATCCACCTAGGTGAGTATAAATGTTTGCTATTATGTATGTATAAATGAAGGCTACAATTTAGTGTTCACAAACTATCATTGCTCCTACAAACACTGCTCCTTGTAGCCCAAGGTCTGCAAATGGAATTAAATTTACAGACTATGACATTTTATTTTTATTTTGTTTTATTGTTGCTGTCTTCTGTCCACCATTATACATTCCTGGATAAATTCCTCACTTTAACTACAGGTAGAATTGCATGAATGAGGTGTTTAGAGAAATCTGAAGACTTTGTTTTTCAAGAAATATGAACCCAGCTCTCACTTCTCTTGTTGATTTGGAAATTAAAAAACTGAACACATGCTGGTACCACTAGCACAATATAATACGGGAGGAAGGGAGGGGGGAGGGAGATTTTGTACAAAAGGGTGTTATTCTTTAGGTGTATCTTGGGCAACCTAATGTCTAAATAGATCACAGCCTACAACAATATGCAAGCCATGGTTTCGGAATAATGTCAAGCTACAAACTAAGAGCTGTGGAGTTCTGTCCAATAGTTACTGATTAGCCTCCTAATCCAGCCAGATACATGAATGTGTCATTGTTGTTACTGAGGTCAGAGTATTCATATCGGAAACAGATTCCTCTAACAGTCCCAAAACCACGGTCCACCACAAAAGCCAGCCACAAGGTAGGTGCTGCAGCCCGGTATGCTGATCCCTAACAAGCGATACTAATCCAAGATAGGAAGGCCCAACATATGTCCATCGCTAAAACATAATTTTTATTAGCACAACTGGTAAAATTGCAGCAAGACAAACTTACATTTCATCAAACAACCTTAATCACAGCAATCAACAGTGTACTTCCTCCCGACCTACCCAGTCACTGTGCCCACCACACTGACATTTGCATTTTGCACAGTGGGGACTGGCCAGAGAGGGAATACTTTGTTTCAGTTGGCCAGCTTAAATATGTATTGCAATGAATGTGAACTTAAAATCTCTGTTTTTTTGCAGTTTGCTAGAAAGGGTGTACAGCAGTGTGCAGAGGGTTTATCCACAATTTTTAATGTTAGCATGTGGTCTCACCTGTGAGATTATATACACATAGAAACCAGGGGCGGACTGACAACTCATGGGGCCCCCGGGCAATAGGGGATCATGGGGCCCCTGTGTCCTTGCCCAAACTCAAAAAAGCCTATGAAAAAGGTACCAGGGGCATCTCATGGGGCCCCCTACTGACCCTGGGCCCTCGGGCAGTGCCTGAGTGTTTGAATGGTCAGTCCGCCCCTGATAGAAACCATTGGTATTGGACTACAGACATATTTTCCACCACACTGACAGGCACATGGCCAAGAAGTTTTGCACTGGGATGGACAGAGCCTGACGGGGAACTGAGAGACTAGTTTCCCATCAGGACTACTTTACTTTTGATTGACATCACAGGCTTCACCTGCCAAACAGCTGCAGTGGCTGTAAAATAGAGTTGGAGGATGGACAGGGCCTAATGGAGAATTCTGGGACTAGTTCTCCATCAGATCCTCTTTGGGTGTGATTGCCAGCAGTGGCAGATGGCAGATTCCATAGATGCTATTGGACTGCAGAATGGCTATTGGATTGGAGAATCCATCTACTGCCATCCACTGGTAATCAAAGGTAAGGCTGGCATAATGGGGAAGTAGCCTCGCTGAGTTCCCCACCCGGCTCCACCCACTGTCATTTCAGCATGACCTGCATCGTTAGTTGCTAGGACACAGGCGACCTACATCATAGCAACCAATGAAGTAAATGTAAAAAACATGCAAGTATATTAATAAAGCAATTAACACACAATGCCTCCCCTACCCCTGCATGCCAACTTTGAGTTAAACTTAATTACCACCAGTTTGCTTATCTGCGAACTGGCAGTAATTCTTTTAGAATCTGTTGCAGTCATGTTGACTGATTCTAAAATTGGCCATATTAAGAACTAGCTGAATCTGGCACACATGTAGGTACTGGTTCCAAAGCTGGAGCAAGGCTTCCATTAAAGTGGAACAATACTCACATCAGATCCGGGAATGAGGCATCTCCAAGCTCCCCACACAGCTGCTGACATCTTTTGGGTGGCTGGCTGGTGGGTCTCAATCGCCGCTGCCATTGCCCAGGCGACGATGACGTCACTCCTGCACATGCACAGAAGCTAAATCAGATTTGGTGGGCAGGCAGATAAGTAACTTTAATGCAGAAAAGACAAAGCATTACAATTCATGCCTGTTCACCCCTTTTAAAATTCTGGTCTTAAGTTCCACCTAAATTTTGAGCTGGCTATGTTAAAGGGGCCATACCACCAGAAAAGAGATGCTACTGCCTTATTGAATTGCCTTGACAAAGTCTGTTAGAATGTCAGGTACTGATATCCTGCAGAACAGGTGTGACTAGATGTAAATCTAACAGTTCTAAGTCAGTGACTCACAAAGAATGAAAGCTAAGGACAGCCGGGCAAGTAGCATTTTCAGAAGTATATGACCAATGGCAGAATACCCATTCTCTTTGTACAGGTTTACTTTCAGATATAGCTATATAACTCTCCCTTGCTTATCTTTGAATATTACACCACAGATAATTTGAAAACAATTACAAAACAAGTAATAAAGAAAATGAAATGATTCTGAGAGATCAGTAACAGGGATTGTGCATAAGGTAGGAAGATGTGAGGCAATGATATATGGGAGCCAGATGGCAATGTCTGCATCTCGTCAGATACTCAAAGCCCATCTCCTGAGGGCATATCAGACCTCTTTGAGCACATGCAGCACTTATTTTTTGTCTGAGCACCAATTTAATGGCATTATAGAGAAACTTGCTGCTAATAATGACTTTGTTCTTTGCCTCCCACAAGAAATATACATAATGAGAGGAAGCATAATGCATCGAATGTTCAACCTAATTTGCTGGTAATCCAATAAAATAAATGAAGTCTGTTTTGAGACTCAAATTTACTTGAGGAAGCAAAATAAAGTTCTTCGTTATTCAGGTACTCCAGACACTCATCAGCATATCATTGATGTAACTGCTAGACAATTACTAACACCCCCAAATACAATATCAATTCAATGCAATTAAACTGAAAGACCTCTGCTAAGCACTTTCATATTAACTTCCACGTAAAATAAATCATAATAATTCTTGACATTCTGCAAGCTACTGTACAAAATATATGCCATCCCTAGCATCTTGTAAGATAGGTTAACAATAGATGAGAGAAGGTGGCTAAACACGTAGGCGCAATTCACATGGCTTCTCATTTATGTCAGAACCAGGGAATCCATAAACAAGCACACCCAGCTCGGTCATGTTTATTCCATGGAAAGAGAAGAATGGTGTTGCTACAAAGAGAGGGAGGGCAATTGCCAAACATTTTCAGTGCTGGCTTATCAAGGAGAAAATGGTGAAAGTTTTAACAGATATGTATTCTGTTTGTGAATTGTGAGATCATTGCCTATTTTGGATGGAAATGGGTGGTATATCTGCTTTTGGAAGGAAAGAAGCCAGTGCTGGCAGTTCTCATTTTGTTCTTTTTGCACCCAAAACAAGACAAATGTTTCCCCAAATGTCTCCATAGTTTTATCCTCCTCTTACCTCAACCCCCAATACTTTGGGGTCTATTTTTTTTTTTTTAATAATTGCATAGCCATTCATCCAGCACATCTGCATGTATATGTGTCCTGAGCTAATTGGGCAAAAGGCTATTTTCTCTACGGACAGTAGTAAATATATAACTGCAGTGCTCGCAGAGACTCCTCTGCTGTACAAATAAAACAATATACCCTCCACCACAGTGTCACAAATCAAATAAAATAAAATATCCCATGTACATATATTTAATATAAGAGAGAGAATGAAGATGGAGGCAGAGTGACACAGGGCAAAAAATTTAGAGTGCCTGTAGGCAGGTGCAGTCTGATTCCTCCACTATAGGTGGTTCTGGAACTGAGCAGCTTGGAGAGAAAATCAAGGAAAATATGCTTTCTCTGTGGTTTCCTGATTCCTAGAGGCAGCGTTCTGGTTGGTGGCTGCACTGCACTGCATCCAGGAGACCCTTGGGGGCCATCTTGGGTCAGCAGAGTCTTTTAAGTCCCTGCTCCCTAGGTTTTGGTGCACATTCACTTGTGGGTAGTGTAGGGACAGGTCTTACGTCTGTCAGGGACAGTATTAGCGGCAGGGAAAGGTTCCAGATGGGAATGGAAAGCTTAGGGCTTGCAACGTCCTTGAAAATCTCATTTGGTTTTCAGTTTGGCTGATACCTGCTCCACTACATGCTGTTGGCATTGGTGAGTGTTCCAGGTTGGGTCCTCTCCTACGGGGTTTGTTGTCAACTGTTTTGCCTTTACTACAATATAATTTCTGCCTTTACTGCAATACAAATTTTTCCTTTGCCACAATATAAGTTTTACTGATTGCCCATGGACTGTGTATGAAATATCATCTCAGCATGCTGCATCCACCCACAAGCCATCATCCCAAACCAATAAATGACTACTACAAGGTAAAAATCAGTCACTTTCTAAGATGCAGGGATAAAGATTCAACATACAGGTATTAAAAATATTTCCAAATGTATTAATCACATCTTCTTATAAAAGTTTGAAAAACAAATCATGTATACTGTGATTACACTACAATATTCTGTTAGAAAAACAATAAAGACCACTTATACACTGTAAAAACACTATACTGAGTGTCCCACTTCACAGGTAGTAACTTACGCTCAACATGTTCTGTAAATATATTCACTTAATCAGGACCAGAAGTAAAAGGGTTACAGGACATCCATGCAATTCCATTGATCTCAATATAGTGATCTCACAATGGTTTATCGCATGTTGTAGTTACATTATTCTAAAGATACACTCATCTTCACAAAGGAATAGCTAATAGGTTAGTATTAGGTATTAGAGAGGTCCAGAACTTAAAGTGGAACTTTACCCATAACAACGAAATAAAAATAATGTTCTTTAGCAAGGAACATACATTCCGCATTAATAATTATGGTACCAAAATTAATATGTGCCGTAAAATTGCCTCCAGTATTGGTCTTGTTCAGGGGCGGACTGACAACTCATGGGGCCCCCAGGCAATAGGGGATCATGGGGCCCCTGTGTCCTTGCCCAAACTAAAAAAAGCCTATGTAAAAGGTACCAGGGGCATCTCATGGGTCCCCCCTACTGACCCCGGGCCCTCGGGCAGTGCCCGAGTTTCCAAATGGTCAGTCTGCCCCTGGTCTTGTTTCTTCTAGCCAGTGGCTGCCACTTTGCTGAAGCCCAGAGCCCCTGAAGAGCAGCAAATCTTTAGGTTGTCAGCAGATTGGCCTGTAATGGCTCTGATTTTCACTACAATGCCAAAAAATGCCAAAATGGAGAGCAAATGTGCATATCAGGGCTAGACAGAGTATTAATGGATTTTAAACAGTATAGGCACGTATTTTTAATGTTTTACAAACATTTGCTATACCTGCAAAAGGGGCCAGCTTAAAGTGATCCAGCAGCACTTACATTTCTGACTAAATTTCCACTTTAATGTTATTGTGTCATAAGGTGGTTGTTGGGTTTATTCCTACTCTGTGGATTAGGAAGAGAGGAGGTCTTCTCCCAAGCTTGAGAAGCTCCATAATGGCTATTCTGAATGGAGAAAACATTTGCAGTTTTCTTCAGGATTGGTAACTTCAAGATTGGATTCTGGAGTGTAGAGGCTTCAAAGAGCCCTGTGACAGGGAAGACAGAGTGCCCAGGTGAACATTTATGCACCAATGCCAATTTCCCAACAGCTGCGCTCGTGTTTGTGCACTTGCCTACCGGGCACTTATACCCCCTTCTTTACCAGGCCAATTTTCAGCTTTCAGCGCTGTCGCATTTTGATTGACAATTGCGCGGTCATGCAAGATTGTACCCATATGAAATTTTTATCATTTTTTCTCACAAATAGAGCTTTCTTTTGGTGGTATTTTATCGTCGCGGGGCACTTTACTTTTTGCTCTATAAACAAAAAAAGTGCAAAAAAATTGAAAAAAAAAATGTTTCTTTGTTTCTATTATAAAATTTTTCAAACAGGTAATTTTTCTCCTTCACTGATATGTGTTGATGAGGCAGCACTGATGGGCACTAATAGGTGGCACTCATGGGAACTGATAGGCAGCACTAATGAGGTGGCACGGATAGGCGGCACTGATAGGCAGCACTAATGAGATGTCACGGATAGGCAGCATTGATAGGTGGCACTGATAGACAGCACTGATAGGTGGCACTGATACACAGCACTGATAGGTGGCACTGACTGGCATCACTGCTGGGCACTGACTGGCGGCACTGCTAGGCATTGACTGGCACAACTGCTGGGCACTGACTGGCACAACCACTGGGCACTGACTGGCAGCACTGCTGGGCTGCACTGATGGGCATTGGTGGGTGGCACTGGTGGGCACAAGTGGGTGGCACTACAGGGCACAGGTAGGTGGCACTTCTGAGCACAGGTGTGTGGCACTGCTGGGTGGCACAGGAGGGTGCACTGCTGGGCACAGGTGGGCGCACTACTAGGCACAGGTGGGTGCACTGCTGGGCACTGGTGGGCGGAACTGCTGGGTGGCACTGCTGGTCACCGATCATCAGTGCCCTGATGATCGGTGCCGATTCCTGCTCTGACAACTGCCGGTTCTCGGCAGCACTTTCCTCATGCTCTGAAAGCGAGAGGAAAGTGCAGCCGAGAACATGCAATTGCATTTCCCGGTGATCAGCGTGTTATTGGACATGGCTGATCATGTGGTAAAAGGCCGCTGTGATTGGCCTTTTACCACATCACATGATCAGCTGTGTCTGCAGGAGAGCGCGTTCTGGGAGGACGTCATATGACGCCCTCCCAGAACTGGCCGGCCGCAGTGTAGCTGTCATTCACTATCTGCGGTCGGCAGGTGGTTAGTCCGCAACTGCACTAGGAGTCCTTGCCCTCTGGTCTACCATGTTCCATTATCTGCTATCTGTTGTATCCTGATCCTGTTGCCGACCTGACGCGTCTTGACCTCCCATGAACTCCGCCTGCACTGACCTAGCTTACACTTGCACTACACCTTTGCCTGTTCCCTTGCTATCTGTCTAATGCTTGCTGACTCCTGGCCTGAACTTCGACTATCCGCTTGCCTACTACCTGTACCTGATCCGCCTAATAGATCCTGACCTGACTTGTCTGACTCTGCTACTTCTCCGGCCTGTGACTATCACTTGCTACTAACCATCTGCAGTTGCCGAGTTCATTTTGCTCTACTGCAAGAATCTACCAGTCACTGCTCCTGCTGATCTGCAACCTCTGCTCACCTGCATCTGCAACCTACCTGCAACCTCTGCTCACCTGCATCTGCAACCTACCTGCATCCTCAGCTCACCTGCATCCCCTGCTCACTTGCATCCACAACCCACCTGCATCCTCTCCGCTGACCTGTATCCTGGTCGTCCAGATTACCCACCTGTCGGCTGACATCGCAGACCTGCCAGGCACTCTTGCCTTCTGTTTATTCTATCAGGGGCACTGAGCAGGAGGTGTAAGAGGACACCTTCATCTCCATGTCAGGCTCCCCCACCAGATACATGACGCCCTGTGAGGGATGAAGCCTCTATCCCTGTGTCCACAACATACTGGAGACCAGGAGCTTGATTGTGAAGGAGTTCACAGCCTTTTAAATCAAGCTGGCTGAGATTCTTTTCCCTTGCTGACAAAGCTGCTGCAGGATCAGCATACTTTTAAATAAAAGAGGGCCAAATGTCCTGAAAATGTACTTCCGTGGCTGGGATGAAGTTGATGATAAATTCTGCATTTTGAGTTAACCCCTCAAAAAGTATAATCTAGAAAGGGTTAGTGGCCTGTATTTTAATGGCATTGCATTCCCAGGTTCAATAAATAAATAAATAAATAGTAAAACAGTGAAAAAAAACAGGACTTTCTAGGCACAATATATAGCAACTGGCCCGTATTTTATATAACATACCGGAGATACTTTGTACTTTTATAATTATTTATTTATGCTCAAGCCTTAGTCATTAGGTGAAAGCACTAAAAGGCTTATTAAAAATGCATTAACATAGGCATGTAAACAGGAGTTAAGCCATAAAAGTAGCTACATCATTTTACATAGGATTATACGTGTTATAACCAGAAAGATTGCCCAAATACAGCCAACCTAGAGATTTACACACTAGATACTGTAGATAGTAACAATACAGAGTAACATCACATGATATATTAGCCCTATCCAGGAGTGAGAGCAGCACTATTCAGTCAAATGTAGCACTACCTCCATTGCTGGTTCTTCCTATTTAGTACAGAGGCTGTCCGTCCTCACAAGCACCAGTCCATGCACACGGGCACCATTAACTCAACGTAGGGGATGTATTTTTAATATTTCTTGCTAAAAGAATTTTAAACAGGAGAGGGGTTAGGGCATGGAATACTCCAAACACTTGCACAGTAACAGGAGGACACGTTTCTCTAAGCTTCCATCCATAGATTTTGCTGAGGACACAAGGGAATAGGCAGTACTCTGCACACCTTCCAGCTTCCACCAGACACTTCTCAGTGAGGTAGGCAATCCTTCTCCAGACCAAATCCCATAAGGTGAAGTCCCACAGCCAGCTCCCCAAATAGATTTCTTTAGACTCTCAGCTCTGAAGCATAGGGACAGGGGTAGGGAAATGTGGGGGTCTAGGGAGGGTGGGGTGTATGCTGTAAAATACATATAAGAAATAAAAATGCTCCAAAATAGTTGCTAGTTTTAAAGGTTATCATGTATCCTGTCCATCCGAAAGATTTCTTTCCTCTCTCTTCCCACTTCTCTCTCTTTTCCCCTTCTCTCTCCTCCTAATTTATCTCTCTCTCTTTCTGCCTCTTTCCCTTCTCTCTCTTTCTCTCCCCCTTCTCTCTCATGATTCTCTGTCTCACCCCCTTCTCTCCCCCCTTTTCTCTCTCCTCCCCTCCTGTCTTTCTCTCCCCCATTCTCTCTCTGATCCTTTTTTTGCCCCCCCCCCTCTCTCTCTCTCTCTGTATCTCACCATTTTCTTTCTCTTTCTCCCCCTTCTCTTGCTGTCCCTTTTCCCTTCTCTCTCTGTCTCTCTCCCCCTTCTCCTGCTGTCTTTCTTCCCTTCTCTCTCTGTCTCTCTCTCCCCTTCTCCTGCTGTCTTTCCTCCCTTCTCTCTCTGTCTCTCTCCCCTTTCTCCTGCTGTCTTTCCTCCCTTATTTCTCTGTCTCTCTCTCCATTCTCCTGCTGTCTTTCCTCCCTTCTCTCTCTGTCTCTCTCCCCCTTCTCCTGCTGTCTTTCTTCCCTTCTCTCTCTGTCTCTCCCCCCTTTCTCCTGCTGTCTTTCTTCCCTTCTCTCTCTGTCTCTCTCCCCCTTCTCCTGCTGTCTTTCCTCCCTTCTCTCTCTGTCTCTCTCCCCTTTCTCCTGCTGTCTTTCCTCCCTTATTTCTCTGTCTCTCTCTCCATTCTCCTGCTGTCTTTCCTCCCTTCTCTCTCCCCTTTCTCCTGCTGTCTTTCCTCCCTTATTTCTCCCTCTCTCCTCCTTCTCCTGCTGTCTTTCCTCCCTTCTCTCTCTGTCTCTCTCCCCCTTCTCCTGCTGTCTTTCCTCCCTTATCTCTTTGTCTCTCTCCCACTTCTCCTGCTGTCTTTCCTCCCTTCTCTGTCTCTTTCCCCCCTTTTCTCTCTTTCTCTCCTCATTCTCTCTATCTCTCCCTAATCCACCCCCTCTCTTTCTGTGACCTCTGCTTTCCCTCTTTCTCATAACAGGGACCAAATGAGCTAGAGTGAAAACCCACCAGGAGTTTTAACTCTACCCACTCTCTCCAAGCCCAAGAAAAAAAGTATTTTAACTTGACATACACTTAAATCTACCCCCCCCCCCCTTTAAAGCAGAACTCCAGCCAAAAATAACAAAGTAAAAATAAATGGCCATTCAATGAAAAATAAGAAAAACAGTTCTTAAAGCAATATTGAACTTTGTTACAGAATGTCCCCTGCAGTATTTTTTTCTGCCAACAGATGCCCTCAGTCTTATGGCCAGCATTATTTAACCCTTTCATGCCTAAGGGTAAAACAAATCTAAATGCCCAGCCTAAGCACAATTCTGCAACGTTGACATGTGTCAGTAAAACTAAAACATATCATCACAACTACTTTGTACATTCAAGTGCATCATACCTTGATTTTTTCAGGAGGAATTGGGCTTTCATTTGGTGGTAAAAGGTA